GTCCCTTTAGTAAGAGACAGAGCCGCTCACTTTCGTCATTTTCACCCAATCCGAGAACCGTAATAGACCCCCAGGTGACTTAAGATTGCATCCTATATAATTGGCTCTAGCAAGCAATGTTTGTTCCTTGCAGAATCGTCTGTCGATACTTTTATATATATGTATAGCACTTTTATATAGTACTTTTAAAAAACTGCTATTTTTGTGCGATAAAAATGTATAAAATAATAAATAAAAATAAATTATTATACGTAAACTTATAAAATAAAAAACGATATACACATGTGAACTTATAAATAAAGAGTATAAATACATTTTTTACAATTTGCAAGCTTTTTCATAATCTTTTACACAAGTGACCATAAAAACAACATTAACAACAAATTATCTGAAAGTTGTCTAGATGAGCCGCGTAATTTTATCTTTATCTTAAAAGCTATTATTTTTGCGCAATAAAAATTTATAAAATAATAAATAAAAATAAATTATTATACGTAAACTTATAAAATAAAAACTATATGTACACATGTAAACTTATGAATGAAGAGTATGAATACATTTTTATAATTTTTTTATAACTTGCAAGCTTTTTCACACTCTTCTACACAAGTGGCCATAAAAACAACATTAACAACGTATTATCTGGAAGTTATCTAGACGAGCCGCATAATGTCATCTTCATACATTTAAAACAAATTCTTCTTCACCTTATCTAAGATAAATTCGCATATTTCCATCTCATCTTTATCCAGCTTTAAAAATCATCTGATCGCAACGCTGGTAATGACCAGAGTGAACTTTAAGAGTCCGGAAAAGGCCGGGGAACCAATCAAGCCCTAAATTGAATTTGCCCGATGGCCACGGACAGTCGCAAACTTATAAGATACATCGACGGCAAATTTTCGTGGGCGTAGGAGAGAGCCGCGTCGGGACAAAACAGGTCTCTCGCTAAAGAGCTCGAGTCGCCGTCACTGCGATTTACGTTCCTATCACGATTTATGTCACGTGGCCTCCTCGAGTCTAATGGCAAAAAGTTTCTCCCGTCTAACTGGTCTTTAGCTACATTCTAAATTGACCCTTTGTATTAATGATAACCTCGCGCTCGCGCGCTCGCGCGCGCACGCAGCGAGCGACATCGCATCGCCTGCCTTCCTGTTATCGAAGTTGGTTTCATTGTTATTTTGCGATAAGGCTGCTTCAGCGTACGATCCTTTTTTGCATTTCGTAGTCACGGGGCTCGCGGAATAAATCTTTCCCGCGAGGTAACATCGCGTCGGTTAAGGAATAAAGTTTTTTTTTTACTTCTTTTTCCGAGGATCAACGATAAGCGAGAGCGCACCGTTCGATTTTTCTCTCGCTCCTATCGCGAGATTTATATCCTGATAATGACTACGTTTCCACCGAGGGTCAGAGTCGGGCTAGAGTCGGGTCAGAATCGGGTTGGGGTGAGCGTTTTTGCGGTGGAAACACCAAACCCCAACCCGATTTCTGACCCGGTTTGGTGTTTCCACCGCAAAAACGCTCACCCCAGCCCGATTCTGACCCGACTCCAGCCCGACTCTGACCCTCGGTGGAAACGTAGTCAATCAGGGCCGCCGCAACCGCGGCAACATTGTTATTTATACCAATCATCGATTTCTCGATAATTTCGCACGGCTCGCGTCTGCGGGAAAAATAGCTGCGCCAAAATTGAATTGTCTCGGTTTTCGCGCCTGTTACATTCCTTTAGCATTTAGGGCCAGTTTTACAAACGTCGGTTAGGTGCTAGCCAGAGTTCAGTGTCGACTCCCTGTCTTTTTAGCTACGTGCATCGTCCTTTCAACGCGATCAGACAGTTGTTCGACACCAATTCGAAGTGGCAAATTCCCCTTTTCCCGTCCCTTTATCCCTCGTTTCTAGATCCGAAATTATTTTGGATACCAAATTCGGAGCAGCAAAACCACGGAGAGCAGCGACGCAAATGTCCACCTACACTTTCTGGGTGTCTCCGCTGCGTATTACAATCGCGCGGATCGCGCGTAACCAAGGCGCATATTTAAAAACGGAAAGGGGGGAAAAGGCGCTCTTATTTTTAGAATCCGCGACGATGTACGCGGCACGAGGCGGCTCCGAATTCAACGGCGCGACTCGCGGGAGCACTCGCGCGAACATCTCGCCCCGATCCCTTTCTTCGCGCGTCACGTTCGCGCGGAGCGAGTCGCGAACTGGCCTCCGAGCGAGAATCGGTGCGCAACTTCGGCGGCCGAGGATCCGCTGTCCGCGATCCATTCATGACCGGAGCCGGGCGCGGGCGCGGGCGCGAGGGCGAACGCGCGGCCCCGCGGTCACGACGAAAGCTCTCCTCGCTTCGGTTCGCCGATGACACACGCGCCGCGGACACCCGGGCTGGCCTCCGTTGACCCGACGCGATCACGAGCCCGGCCCGAGAGACTTGGCGCCGGCTAGGCTTAAAAGGCTACTCAGCGGGAATCCGCCGGGTTTTCTTGCCCACGTACCTGCCTCGCCGCTAGCTGGTAGCCCGCGGGTTTACCGTTGATGACTTCCAGCCGGTGGTGCGATCGCGCACGGGAAACACCATGCAAAAACGCGAGGCGAGGCGAGAATCACGTGTACGACGGCGAGGCGCACGCACATCGGCAGCAGCACTAACGCAACGAGATGCGCGGCGCACGGTGTACCGAGCCCCGGGTGTATACACAATACAGATAACAGGAGTGTATTATGGCCGCGTTCCTCGCGTTCATGAATGAAACTAAGCGCGCTACTAACTTGGCGTCGTAATTTCGGCCGCCGGCGAACGGGCTCGCGAATGGTCGTACGTATCTCGGCGTCACGTGACCCCGCAGATACCGCCGCGCCTCGGTAAATGGCGGCGGCTGCGACCGCCGCGGAGCCGCGAACGTCCCGCGGACATAGACGAGCCGCGCGGGGGCGAAACGCGGACGGACACTCTCGCCACCTGTTATCGGGCGCGCAAATCACTTTGTGATATTCGTATGAGGAGCGCGGCGAAGACACGCGGGACATGCGTCTCCGTTTGACTAAGTCCCAGTCTACAATAGATGATTTAAGCCCTAAGCTTTAAGAAATTGGCCAATCACGGTCAAGTATGAGAAGAATGCGCGACTGTGATTAGTCAATTTCTTAAGGCTTAGGGCTTAAATCTCTATTGTAGACTGGGACTAAAGACCGTATCAGACTACGGATTGAGATTGGGATTAGATTGAAATTCGACGTATAATACGTTGATAAAGAACCGTCGCCTCAACGTACAATTCGTTTCTCTTCGCAAGTTGCAGACACAATTAATCGAGGAACGTTACTTGTTACTGATAAAAGTGCACAAATCAATAGCGTTTTAGCCATACATTTACCGCGATCGAGTCTTGGAAACCGATAACGCAAAAGTAATAACACGCACAGAGCGACTCTCGCCACTGCCTGCCGGCTCGACGTTCGGCGAGCGAGTGCAGATACCGTTGATACCGTGGCGACCTTCAGGTAAACATTGGCCCGCGTAACGTCGTACGTTACCGCGCCGAGTGAAAAACAACAAAAAAAAACGTTGAGAATTCGTTGCCTCGCCTACGTAGTGAAAAATTCCGTACATAATATTTTACATTACTTTGTCCCGTGACTGTTACTACGTTTTGCGTATCATTCTGCAGACTTGTGCGTGGTCTACAATGCGAGTCGCAGAGTCGCAGTCGTAAGAATAATCGACTGCGATTGATCAATTTCGTCAGACACATAAGAATTGACCAATCATAGTCGACTATTCTTACGACTACGACTTTACGACTTCTATGTAGACGAGGCTTTATTGGTATTGATTAAATTAACGACTAATTCCGGTCAACCGAGAAAATGTTTCGAAACAAAAGTCGTTGTTACATAAATTCTAATTACTAAGATTCGAGATTTTACCTCAATAGTTGGTGTATACAAATGTATATTTCTAAATTGCAAATCTTCATTCACTACGAATCTAAAGGCCTTCACACACAAAATTCCGCAAGGACGTAAAACGTAAGCGTAAGAAAATCAACAGATTGGATTTGCTACTGCTCGCGTTATTGCCTTACGTTCTCGACTGCGATTGGTCGATCTTCTTACGCTTACGTTTTACGTCCTTACGGAATTTTGTGTGTGAAGGCCTTAAGCCTCCGCTACAATGATTCTCGGTTCTGTCTACAATGGTCGTAGTCGTAGTCGCTCGATAAGAATTGACCAATCGCAGTCGATTATTCTTACGACTACGACCATTGTAGACAGAACCAAGAATCATTGTAGCGGAGGCTTTAAAAGAGAAGTGAAGCACACCGCGCTTCGAGAAAATTAATCGGCATCGCGGAAAAGAGGCCTCAACTGCTCGATATTAACGACATTCGCGCTATTAACATCTCTTTTGTAGAAATTTGTATTATTATGTATATAATATCTGATTAAAGTATCACTCGGATGAATCCCCTCTGAATTCCCTTCTGAATCCCCGCGATTTGCCATCGATACACGGTTAGCCGGCAAGGACAGATATATCCAGCGCGATTCACGCGAGATCTGCGCATCTGCACATCCAAGAATCAAAGCGCCAGCCAGCTTGAAATTACTTGTCCACTGCGATACTTACGGACGATAATTGCTTCTTTAACCGATGCTCGTATTCGGACATCTTACATCGCGTAGAATCTCACGCCGCTTCGACTACAAGCTGGCTGTTTGCTGGCGGCGTTGGTGCAACCGGGCCTAGGGACGGTATTCATAGTCAAATCTTACGTTCAAGGCCGTCTTAAGATCGTCTTTAGATATCCCGTGGTATGATCTGACTAGTCGCTTTACTTACCTGTATTTTCTAGTCTGATTTAATATTAAAGACACGCCAAGACGCGCCGCGACCTCGTTTCTACCGGCGACGCGACGCAGACTCCGGCCCGCCAATCGGGAGGCGACTTCCCTTCAAAGATGGCGCTGCACGCGAAACTGTGTCGAAAAAGGCGGGCTCCGATCAGCTGCGAGAGCGTGTGGTGCAACAGGCAGACCCGTGGTTCGATGGATTTACCACAATCTTTTTCGGTCTCCTAATATTGATTCCAGTGCATTCCTTTTTTTCTAAATTTGTTTCTAGCAGTATTGCTCTTCTAAAGAACACAGATGCCGTATAAATAAGAAGACGAAGCGTTGTACGATGCTCCACGCACGCCTGTTTGTCGCTTCGAAAGTTTCGACGTTGATACTCGATCGTCAACATTTAACCAGTGTTTAATCTCGGTAACATTGAAACGACATCGTTTCTCGTTCGTCGCGGGCCTTCGACGATGGAGACCTTGCAGAACACCGGGGCTGCCCGGCCGCCCAGGGCGTTCAACAAGAGGAATCCGACGCAAGAGACCGGCGCGCCGGGGTAAGATAGCTTCGAGAAGCCTGGCGCTCCCTCGTCTCTTTCTCTAAAGTTTGTGATGCTTCCAGGGAAAATGCCTTGGGAAGGTTGCTCGAGATCAAGGAGGACATCAGGATCGACGGCGTGTACGGGTTCCGTCGAGTCACCGACGCGAGGGAGAGGATAGGATTTCTGCTCAACATGCACGCGGTAGGGAGAGATCGAGGGAGCGCAGGTACGGTCTCCCTTTTTTTTACGACTGAGTAACGCGATCCTGACGTTTCCGCGCAGACGGAGATCGTGGAGGACGACAAGCGTCTGCTGAGCGGCGTGGATTATTACTTCATCGAGGAGGACGCCACCAGATTTAAAGTGTCACTGCCGTACTCGCCGTACTTCTACGTTTTGTGCCGCAAGGACACGTTTGAGGAGGTGTCGACGTTTCTGTCCAAGAAGTACGCGGGTACTTTGACGAAAATCGAGACCGTTTACAAGGAGGATCTCGACCTGGTTAGACACGCTTTCAATTCAAGCGCAGTTAGCTGTTGATATGAAAATTTCTTCCTTTTCCTTTTGCAATTTTTGACTCCCTATGGTTTTCGTTTAATCCTTCCAGCCTAATCACTTGATTGGACTGAGACAAAAATACCTGAAGGTTTCCTTCGCCAACATTGTCGACTTGACGAAAGTCAAGCGCGACATTGTGCGCGTTGTTAGAATTAACAAAGAGCGAGAGAAGGGCAAAACTTACTACACGGACATGCTAGCGACTACCTTGCAGCCGAACGAACAGGACAGCGGTAGACAAACTTTAGATCACATGGATAATATTCTTGATATTAGGTAACTGTATATGTAGAGGAAAGTCTTCTATTAAGAGATAGGCTCCTAATATGGGAGTTTCTGCTAAATTAATTGACATCGTCTGTTGGTTCCTCCGTGAATTTATTGCCCTTGGAGTGCAATCTCTTTAGTGGAAAAATTGATAGATCGTGTAATCGTTGTGAAATAAGATTTGTGATTGTATTTGGACGTTAAAAACCTGCTATCTCGTCATATTAGAATCCTATTTTATAATAGAGGACTTTCCTCTATATTTTCCCTTTCAATATCTTGTTTACTTCTTGATTTATATGACACATAAAAATATCAATGTTCAGGGAACATGATGTACCTCATCATGTGCGAGTATCCATAGACGCTAACATCTTCTGTGGAGTCTGGTACTCTGTAAAGAGCAGGGGAAGCGAACCACCTGTAATCACGCGAAAGGAAGACATGATCGAACCACCTGAGCCTATTGTGTTGGCGTACGATATTGAAACTACGAAGCTGCCGTTGAAGTTTCCAGACGCCAGTTTCGATCAAATCATGATGATATCGTATATGATAGATGGGCAGGTAATGTATCGTGTTTCATGTAAATAATGAGACAGAATAATATCTTAAAAGTTAGTTAATAATATCTTGCATTTAATTACTTCAAATGTCTGAATGTGAAACAAGATATTGTTCTCTTATTTACAAATTTTCCAAATTTCTAATAAGATAATAAGTTACTCTCGTTCTCGTTACTTTCTAAAAAGAATCTACATTTAAATGTATCTTCTTAGGGATACTTGATAACAAATAGAGAATTAATCTCTGCGGACATACGAGATTTCGAGTATACGCCAAAACCAGAATTCGAAGGTCCTTTCACGATATTCAACGAGCCTAACGAGAAAGCAGCTATAGCGAAATTTTTCAACCACATTAATGAAATAAGGCCGCATATATTTGTAACGTACAACGGCGATTTCTTCGACTGGCCGTTTGTTGAAGCTCGAGCAGCTGTACATAATATGGACATGAAGGAGAACATTGGTTTCTCTAAAAACCGTGAGGGTGTCTACGTCAGTAGAGCTGCTATGCACATGGATTGCTTATGGTAGATATTCAGCGAGATATTAGTTTACAACGTAAGGTGCTGCAGGTGTATTCTTATCGCAAAATGTTTCGTAGTTGGGTAAGACGTGACTCTTATCTGCCGGTGGGTTCTCAAAACTTGAAAGCCGTCGCTAAAGCCAAGTTGAGATATGATCCAGTGGAACTTGATCCGGAAGAGATGTGCAGATTAGCATCGGAGGAACCTGAAGTGCTCGCGAATTATTCCGTCTCTGATGCCGTGGCAACATATTATCTCTATCAGAAATACATTCATCCCTTCATATTCGCATTGTGCACTATTATTCCTATGGAACCCGATGAAGTAAGGAAAAATTGATGTGTGCGTACGCTTTTCCTTGAACGATAAATCTACATTTTAATTTTATTCCCATCAATCGCAGGTACTCAGAAAGGGATCTGGTACACTGTGTGAATCACTTCTTATGGTTCAAGCCTTCCAAGCTAATATTATATTTCCTAACAAGCAAGAAACCGAATTAAATAAATTAACAAAGGACGGTCACTTACTGGACCAAGAGACCTATGTGGGTGGACACGTGGAGGCTTTGGAATCTGGTGTTTTCAGAGCTGACATTCCTTGCCGTTTTAAAATTGTCCCGAGCGCCGTGGACGAGTTAATCAGTGGTGTAGAAAGTGCCTTGAAACACACGATACAAGAAGAGGAGAAAGTACCGATCGATATGGTTACGAATTTTGACGAAATAGTGAATGAAGTTAAGGGAAAATTAAAGGAGCTTAAAGATCAGCCTTTGAGATTAGAAAATCCTGTAATTTATCACTTGGACGTAGGCGCCATGTATCCTAATATAATTTTGACTAATAGATTGCAACCTTCCGCGATAGTAAATGAGATGGACTGCGCGGTATGTGATTATAACAAGCCTGACGCTCTTTGTCAAAGAAAGATGCAATGGATGTGGAGAGGCGAATATTGTAAGTTTGAATATAACTTACTGTTACAAATTATCTGTTGAGCTTATTACATTTTTCTTGATTTGTGCAGTAATTATTATTTATGATTAACAAATTTTAGTGGCTGCAAGTTTGGGCGAATATCAGAGAATAAAGCAACAATTAGAAACTGAGAGGTTTCCACCACAATTTCCTGGTGGTACTAAGAGAGCTTTCCACGAATTGCCCTTGAAAGAGCAAGCCACATTTCAAAAGAACAGGCTTACCGAGTATTGCAAAAAGGCGTACAAGAAGGTCAAAATTACCAGAATGGAAGAGAGAACCCAGACGATTTGTCAGAAGGAGAATTCGTTTTACGTAGACACTGTAAGAGCATTTAGGGACAGAAGGTACGAATACAAAGCGTTGACTAAAGTTGCTAAGCGGCAAGTAGCAGCGGCAGTTGCGAAAGGAGATGCGGCTGATATCAAATCTGCCAAGAATAGAGAAATTTTGTACGATTCTCTTCAGCTTGCTCACAAATGTATTCTCAATTCTTTTTATGGCTACGTTATGAGGAAGGGGTAAGTATTAAAAAATAGAATATATCATATTAAAATATAACACGTCATATTCTTTAAGTACTTTTATTATGTATCTTCTTTTAATTTATTATTTTTCAAATCCTAGTTGTTTTTGTTATATATTTCACAATCGTTACGCAGGGCGCGATGGCACAGCATGGAAATGGGTGGCATCGTATGTTACACAGGAGCCCACATTATCATGAAAGCTAGAGAAATTATAGAACGGATTGGCCGTCCATTGGAATTGGATACTGACGGTATATGGTGCATATTACCCGCGTCTTTTCCAGACTCTATTGTAGTTCACACTACTCATGAAAAGAAGTCGAAATTTACGATCTCGTACCCGAATGCGGTTCTCAATTTCATGGTGAAGGTGTGTACAAATGAACCAAGAAGTACGCGTTTCCTTTTCTCGTGCTCAATGTATTTTGGTTTTTTTTTCAGGATCAATTTACCAACGAGGTATACCATGATCTTGTGGATCAGGATAATTTAACGTACGAAGTCAGAAGTGAAAATTCGATATTTTTCGAAGTTGACGGACCGTATCTGGCGATGGTTTTACCCGCTGCCAAAGAGGAGGGAAAGAAATTGAAGAAACGATACGCGGTTTTTAATTTCGACGGCTCACTGGCCGAGCTTAAGGGATTTGAAGTAAAAAGGAGGGGCGAATTGCAGCTGATAAAAATCTTCCAAGCCTCCGTTTTCGAATCCTTCCTAAAAGGAAACACGTTAGAGGAATGTTACGCCTCGGTCGCGAAGGACGCGGATTATTGGCTGGATTTATTGTACAGCAAGTGCGCGAACATGCCCGACTCCGAATTGTTCGAGCTCATATCTGAGAACAAATCTATGTCACGTAAATTGGAAGAATACGGCGCGCAGAAGTCCACGTCCATCTCCACGGCTAAGAGATTGGCCGAATTTTTGGGCGACGAGATGGTTAAGGACGCAGGCCTGGCTTGTAGATACATTATAGCGAGTAAGCCGCAGAGCGCGCCGGTCACCGAGCGCGCGATACCGTTGGCCATCTTTCAGTCGGAACCGGCGGTGCGGAGACACTACTTGAAAAAGTGGTTGAAGGATCCCACTTTGTACAGCGATGACATAAGAGATATTTTGGACTGGAATTATTACATCGAGCGACTCGGGAGCGCCATTCAAAAGATCATCACTATACCAGCGGCGATGCAAGGCCTGCCGAATCCAGTCCCGCGAGTGCAGCATCCACCTTGGTTGCACAAGAAAGTGACAGAGAAGAATACGTCCCATCGTCAGAAAAAGATCACAGACATATTTTCTGTTGTGGTCAACGACACGTCACGTGCAAGCGGCGCCGAGGAGTCCCGCGATATTGAGGATCTCGCAGGACCGTCCACTAGCTTCAAGACGCCAATGTCGGTTGTCAACAAGAGGAAAAGGCAGCAGTCAGATGAGGATGAGACAATCAGAGCCAGGAGCTGGAAAGAAGCTTTGGGCTCGCCACCTCCCAGAGGAACGACGAAAGAAGAGAAGTTCAAATGGCTGGAGTTTCACAAGAAAAAGTGGGCTTTCCAGGCCAAGCAGAGGCAGCAGCATCGGCAGAAGAGGAGCAAGACCGACGAAAATGATAGAGTCGCCTGGGGAGTTATACGAAATACGAATACGTCTACCATGACTGGCTTTTTGAGGCGCGCTCAGAGGAAATTGCTCGAGACCCCGTGGGAGATCGTTCAGCTGTCGGAAACGGGTGAACCCGGTATGTTTCGATTGTGGATACTGGTCGACACGCAGTTGCATCAAGTACGTCTCGTGGTGCCCCGTATATTTTACGTCAACACCCGCAAGGCGAGGCCCGATCCAGGACCTAACGAGCTCTGGAAGAAGAGCTTCAAATCTCTACCGCGCTCTCGCCCGGTGTACAACTTGTATCGATATTCTCTGCCAGAGTCTCTGTTCCAAGAGCACAGCCGGGAACTCCTGGAGGACTTGAGTAAACCGGAGATCGAGGGGATCTACGAGACGCAAATGTCTTTGGAATTTCGAGCCGTGCTGCAGTTGGGATGCGTGTGCATAGTGGATCCGCGTGCCGCGCGGAAGATGGCGGACGGGGCCGACACGTTCACGCTGGATCAGTTGGAATTCAAGAGCATCGCCTTTCAGCCCTACCTCAAGCGTACCGACTCGATCAACTACATATTCCTCTATCATCATTGGAGCGCGAACCGCCAAAGAGCACTGTGGGGCTTGTTCCTAAGCGCCAGCAAGAGAGCTCACGTATTCGTCTTGGACTCGGTCGCTTCCAATCAACTGCCGAATATGAGCATGCTGTACGCGCAGGAGCGTAAAGCAACGCTGGAAAAGAACGGCGAGGACAAGATAGACAGGTTGCCCAAAACGATGCAGTTCGTGGTGCAAGTTGAAACGAGCTTCCAGCAGGTGTGCCGGACGTTGCAGGCAGCCCTGACGACGTACAAGAACGAGGGCCACGGCGCGACGATTGTCATTAATCAAGCCGCTCTCGACAGGACAGTGTTGACTACCGAGATGCCGCTTCTCAATGAGTTTCCTCTCGTCAGTACGCACGTGCGAGACGTCGAGAATCTGTACGGCACGTTAGAGTGGCAGAAGACGGGCGCGAAAATGATGGTCCGGCACTACCTGAAGAGTCAGCAGATCGTCGAATTGATCGCGGAGCAGTGCCGATTCTTCCACGCTCCTATCGGCAACGTGCCCGCGGATCCCACGCTCTTCGGCGCGGACTTGTTCTACGCCCGGCACTTACACAGGAACAACTTCGTCCTGTGGTGCTCGTCCACGGAGAAGCCCGACTTGGGCGGCAGCGAGAACGACGACAACAGGCTGCTGACGGACTTCGAGGAGAGCGCGAGCTGCGCCGCGAACAATCCCGGCACGTATTCCAGCGTTTGCGTACAATTGGACGTGGAGAGTCTGGCGGTTAACGCATTGCTGCAATACCATCATATCCACGATATAGACGGGACCAGCACGTTTGTGGCCTTTCACAATCAACAGCGTCCGTCCGTTCAGGTCGGTCTTGCATGTAACACTACGGCCGGTACTCGTAGTCGGATCTTATATTCGAGACCGTCTTGAATGTATCTAAAAATGCTGTACCCAAAGGTGATCTTAAGATCGGTCTTGAATATAGGATCTGAATACCGGCCTAAATTAATTAACGATAGTACATTCAGAAAATTTGCAACAACTTAATTTTTCTGAATGAATGATATTGCAACTACATAAGTTGGTATTGTCCGACAGGACATGGCAATGGGTGGCGATGCCGCGACGATCATTCCCAGCTACGATGAAATCACCCTGTGCAATCCGGCGTTTAAGACGCTGCGAAGCATGGTGAACGCGTGGCTGCTCGAGGTATCCGCTTATAAAAACGTATTCGCGGACTATCAGCTGATCCACTTCTATCGGTATGTTATTCGTTACTGCTGTCAATTATATTACTCAATTGGCAGATTACCCTGTTATGTAAAATACACACGCACGGTTCCAGGTGGCTGAGAACCTCAAGTGCCTTGCTTTACGATCCTGCCCTACGCCGCACTCTGCACACCTACATGAAGAAGCTGTATATACAATTAATAGCAGAGTTCAAAACGCTAGGCTGCATTATAGTCTTTGCGAACTTCAACAAGATTATCGTGTGCACGAAGAAGAGATCTGTGAACGACGCCTTAGGCTATATGGAGTTTGTCGTTCAAACCATACGGAACAAAGAGCTGTTTCACAGTATTGAAATTACTTATGATCAATGTTGGGAATATCTAATATGGCTTGACCTGGTGCGCCGATTCATTATTCGTTTGATTCATTGGATAACATTAATACCGTTTCGTATAACGTAAACTTGATTATCAATCTGATTTACTCGACAGCACAATCACGCTGGCATTAGAGGACAGCTATCCAGGGACGATACGGAAGATGAGAATACTGAAAGTGACGATGACACGGTAAAAAAATGCTTTCGTAGATATTTTGAGAAGTTACACTAATAAGTTCTTACTTGACGATATCTTTCCGTTTGTTAAATTATGTCTGTGCAGCCTCAAATAATGATGAATTGGAGTTTGATGGAAATCCTGCCTCAGGAAGCAGGGTGTCAAGCGAGTTTCAACGCTGTAACAGCGGGATATATAAACGCGGTGTACCAGTGTATGATTGAGAACGAAGCCAACACCACCGTAAGGCCGAGGAGAAGACACAGCCAGAGTCAATCGTTTATAGCCCCACTTGGTCTAGGTGCATTGGAAAATACAGCCGAGTTCGCGAAAAAATTGATATCGGGAGAAATGTCTCAGAGATTGTTCAAGTATATATTTCCATACATATTACACAACTTTTTAAAATTAACGCGAAGCTTTTATGTGGAGTAAAATTAATTTAGAATTGATATTCCGTGGGTATGGAAAGTCGACAGTTTTAATGGCTCTAATTTCTGTAATATTTGCAGAATAGCCCAAAAGATACATCGGAATTTACCGGAAAAGGCATTAACTCTCGAGGAATACCCTAATTTGGATATGGGTGGAAAAGAAAGTATAAGGATCAATCCTGCACTTGAGTTAATCAAAGCAGTGTGCAAGGTAATATCATCATGTACTTCATAAATATTTCAAAAACAGTTGTGAAGAGTAGTTATTGAAGAGTTGCGTGGCAATTTCAGGTTTTATCTTTGGATAAGGAAGTGGAACACGAGGTTTATAACTTAAAGGCAAATTTGTTAAGATTGATCGGAGTCGGTAGCTACGGCGACAATGTCGAGTGGAATGAACCGTGTATCACTCTCGTGTTACCAGAAGTTATATGTAAAGCATGCAATCACACGAGAGACATTGATCTCTGTAAAGATCAGTGTTACTCAAATGAAAATAACAGGTACGTTAGATACGTGAATAATTGAGCTAAATATATGCGTCATATTATACGTTGTTATCATTCTTGTAGGCACATGTGGAAATGTCCCATCTGTGACACGTTTTACGACAACACGGAGATAGAATTTCTATTGATTGACAAATTGAATCGCAAAAGTATGGGCTACGTGTTGCAAGATCTACAGTGTCGAAAGTGCAAAGAGATCAAACGAGACAACATGAATATATTGTGTTCCTGCTCAGGCGAATACGACAATTTAATCTCGCGAGACGAAGTTACAACATATGTAAATATATGCAAATCTATAGCCACCAAGTGTAAAATGAGTATTTTAGCGGAGATAGTGGACAACACGAAGCTCTTCACGGGCTAGTGATTAAACTAAGGATTGCCCTCTCTTGTGTGATAATTTGCATTAAAATTTATTAATTTGTTTAAACTCGTCTGGATTGTTCAGGTAGATGAAAAAGATTAAAGTAAGTTTAATAGCTAGACATATATTTTTTAAGATGAATTACTTAATATTTAATAGTTCAACAGTACATGAATGTTCTATACATATCGACATATGTGTTCACTTGTTAAGACCCGAGTCCACAGGTGGATCTAAAACAAAGTACAGCATACGTTAAGTCGTATCTTAGCTATGTGTTCATGTATTCGCCCGTATGTAAAATTTGTAATACAACTTTTGAATATAAAGGTAACCTGGGAGACACGAGTGAAAGTAACGTACCGCTAAACTTGAACTGAGGAAACTGCGTCATATCTGCTCCTGCATCACCACCGTACTGCGTGCGAAGCTTTTCCAATTCAGATTCCCGTTCTTTCGTAATCTCCGGGCTGGGATCAACCAATTTCCCGCCTCTTTAAAGTGGAAAAAGAAACTTCCTTGTGACATCGCATTTGATTTTACATACATTTCCTAATATAATATTTTTGCAAAAATACGAGCGCTGGTTTACAGCACACGTTTAATGAATCTAACTCAACAGTTCCATCTAATTGTTGATTTCACAGCTGTACAAAATACTCTTTTCTCTTTAACTCTCTTGTAAGTTTACTTTTAACTGGAGACAAGCGTATCCAAACGGAGTGCAAATTATTCCATCTCTACTGCAAGCTTACGTGTATTTTTATCGTTTTAAACGTGAAAAGAAGACCAAGATAAAAGATATGTGCCATAAATGAGTATTGTATGTATGTATATACAAATCACCAAAGGGTAAACTGCTGACCAAAATCACGTACATACACCAATGCCTACTAATGCCCAGTGGGCATTACTTTATCTTATTTTTTCTTTTTAGATGTCTTCTAATGCCCCAGCAAGGCCAAATAACGTCCACTGATACCCGAAACCTGTACACCACAGTGCCCTCAGCGGTTTATCCCAAGTAACAATTAAAAAAACCACTGATACCAAGTGATTTCAATCCTTTCAAGGAAATATCCTTTGCAGGTACTTTCCATTAGAGCCCGAGAAGTGCGGGCAAGTACACTTACACGCTTTTCGACTTGTATTCCCGGAGTTTGTCGAGGAAGAGCTGCTGTATGGGGTCGGTGGCTTTCTGCAAAGCAGGGACATTGGTGCTGAGGCTCCGTTTAACAGTTTTCGGCACGCTAGCGAGACGTGACCTCAGCATGGTTGCCTGAAAAGGGGATTGCGCGCAATCTTAGAGAACTTTTGTTGTCAGCAAGTAGCTTTTCTTCTTTGAGCAACAGGCATGAGCCGTCCAAGCGATTAGTCTCGAGATAATGTCTTTAAGTCGCGTTGGAGTTTTATTAGAATGAATTAATCGCCTTTCAGACGTCTCTTACGTAAGAAATGCAATATTTATTGACCCACTCGGAACAGGTTAAAACGATTCGGGTTTATACCGTTGATAAGTGAATCGACGGCAATGACAAAGTTAAAAAATACATACGTTACGTGTGTGTGTCAATAAATGGTTAATCTATTTACTTTTATGTTCAGCACCCGCACCACGCGCAACCTGCTTCGCAAGACAATCTACGCCGGAGGAACAGCAGACTAGCGGAGCCGAGTGACGTAAAGGGATTCCACGAACTAGATATTAACGGAGAGAGACCTGCGAGCGGCCACGCCGGCGTTTGATTTGATACCGTTTTGCGCGCCTCTATGCCCATTTTTCACTTTCGGAACTAGGGAGTTTAATTTCTCTCGTGTCCCCGGCAATCGTCTCGCTCGCGCGGGGGAGGTTGACAGCACTGTGGCCGGACAAGATGGCGCGGGCAGGATTTCCGGCGACGAAGTGCCCCGGAGTCGAGTGACCAGCTAAGATCGACGTGACCATCGGTCTGCCGAGTGTGTCGTCGTGGAGTCGATGCGCGACGGATCCAAGCGAGTAGCGGCATGACGGACGTAGACGTTGTAGTGGTGCTGGACGATCCCGCCCCGAAGGAGGAGGCGGCGGCGCACTTCCACGCGCCGGCGATCCAGCACAACCCGGACGGCTGGGGCCCGTGCGAGCTGCCGGATCAGTTTAAGGACATCCCGTACCAGCCATTTTCCAAGGGCGACAGATTGGGCAAGGTAAGCGTCACTCGCGCCCTTCTCGAGACCTCGCGCTCATCTCTCGCTTCGCTCTGTTTCCCCCGTAGATCTCCGACTGGACCACGCCTGCCTTCCAGGACAAGAAGTTCCCAAGTACGTATCGCGGCCTCGCCGACCGTTCACGTGCGCTAACCTCCAAGCCCGAGAGACTCGGCCGGTGACGTGTACGGCTGATGGCAGAGAACGATCCGCAAACGCCCTAAGGGCCTGAGCAGAAAGGTTGTCGTGACTGTGATCCCATCGTAAGACGCAAGTAGGTCAGCGTCGGACGTCAACGCACAAAGAATTGCCGTATGCCGCCCCTCGCGACGCAGCGCGAGGGATGCGACACACGTCTGTGACAATTCTTCGTGCGCCGACTTTCGACACCGACTTGAGTCTTACGACGGAATCGCGAACTGCTACGACAATCATTCTGCTCGAGCCCCAAGACTGTCCTAGTCGTAGACGCAAGGCAAGGCAGAGGAAAACTTAAGTGAAAGTTTATTGTATAAGACTTAGGCCCGGTCTACAATGAGTCGTTAGTCGTTAGTCAGAAGTCGCAACTATATGTTGATCCTTTTCCTTTCTGGGTGGAAGAAAAAGGACCGACATATAGTTCCGACTTCTGACTAACGACTAACAACTCATTGTAGACCGGGCCTTATGTATTTCTCTGCCCTGCCCTACGTCTATGACTTGAGACAGTCTTAGGCCGGTATCCATAGTCCGTTCTTATATTTGAGATCATCTTAAGTATATTCTTAATGTATTTTTGACCAATCGCAGAGCCGTAGTAGCTTCTCAAGACAACACTTAAGATGATTTTGAAATAAGAATCTGCTATGAATACCCGCCTTACTTCCATGGATTGTTCTCTGCCATCAGCCTTATTCAATGCGAACATAAGTGACAGGGTCCTTCGATCCTGGCTCTCATCCCAATTATACTTTCCCATTAAAGGGAGATTGCGGCGTTTGAACAAGTTTAAGTAGATGTTGAGTTCAGCGTTAGAGAGCAAAGTAAAAAATTAGGACAGCGTTCGAATCAATGGGTATAGATTCACTGCTCCAAATGACATTAGGACGCTTCTATACGGGATGAAAAAAGACATCTGGGGGCATCATTGGCATTTTCGCATTGCACATGTCACCGTTGATCGACAGGCTCTGCGTCGAAACTGAATCTGGAGCAAAATCTGATAGACGTACATGAAAAACGCTTGGTGTATGTGTTGGATCAAATTCTGATTGATGTATAACTACTTTACCACCCTTTATGATTTATTGATTTGTAATCTGGCTTTCTTAATTTGTATCGGCAATATTCGAAGTGCCGATTGTCGTTAATCATACATCTCGGATACTACATTTATCTTTGCCGTATTAACGAATCTCTATGGTTGCGGTCAAGCCGCCGCTACAAATGCTTCGAAGTGTGTCTCTTTTCTTTCTATCTTTTCTGCAAGAAAGAAACAAGAAGAACACTTCGAAACGTTTGAAGCGACAGCTCGATCGTAGCCTATATTTCATTTTCAAATATTTCAGAGCACGTAATAGCTAAAAAATCGTCACATTAAAAAAATTATGCTACATCTAGGTTTAAAGGCCTGCGTCCACGATGCCAGAATTTGGTCCAGCTTCTAGTTTCGAGAAATGTGTAGCCTTTTGCCTGAATATAATTTGTCGCTAAACGAGAGGACAAAGTGCACAATTATTAAAAAATTATTTCGAATGCGGCCAACTTTTATATCGTACAAAAAGTTAACGTTGCGATTATATGTATAAATGATACTTTTCTAGACAAGTATACATCGCAGTTTGGTTCAGGCAGTCAGTATGCCTATTACCACGACGAAGACGAGACTACTTTCCACTTGGTGGACACCACCCGTGTGCAGAAGCCGCCGTACCAGCGCGGCCGTTTCCGTCACAACCAGCGCAACATGCGCGGTCGCGGCGGCCAGCGTGGCGGGCATCTGAGCCAGATGCAGCAGCTAGGAAAGCTCAAGCTGCGCGAGCGGGAGCGCAAGGGGCAGACGAAACGCTGGGGCAGGCAGCAGGGTCTGCGCAATCACAAGAATCAACCGCCCATCAAAATCCGAGACGCCTCCGTGACGGTGCGGCCCGACTGGATAACCATCGAGGAGATGGACTTCCCGCGATTGGCCAAGCTCTCGTTGCCTGGCGTGAAAGACGGCGAGGATATATCGTGCTGCGGCTCGCTCGAGTACTACGACAAGACGTACGATCGCGTGAACGTGAAGAGCGAGAAGCCGCTGCAGAGAATCGACCGTATCTTCCACACGGTCACGACTACCGACGACCCGATAGTCCGAAAGCTGTCCAAGACCGAGGGCAACGTGTACGCCACCGACGCGATCCTGGCCACCATCATGTGCTGCACGCGCAGCAATTATTCGTGGGACATCGTCATCGAGAAGATCGGCGACAAGCTGTTCTTCGACAAGCGGGACAACACCGAGTTCGATCTCCTGACTGTGAACGAGACGAGCGTTGAGCCGCCGCAGGACGACGCCAACTCGCTGAATTCGCCGAGGAATTTGGCCCTCGAGGCGACTTTCATCAATCATAATTTTTCGCAGCAGGTGCTCAAGTCGAACGAGTCGCGGTACAAGTTCGAGGAGGGCAATCCGTTCATCGCGGATGAGGAGGAGAGCGACGTGGCCAGCGTGGCGTATCGTTACCGCAAGTGGGATCTCAACAACGGCATAGTGCTGGTCGCCCGATGCGAGCACGACGCCGTGATGCAGGGCCCGAACAACGAGAATCAATTCCTGACGATCAAGGCGTTGAACGAGTGGGACTCGAAGCTGGCGAACGGGGTCGAGTGGCGCCAGAAGCTCGACACGCAGCGCGGCGCGGTTCTGGCTAACGAATTGCGCAATAACGCCTGCAAACTCGCCAAGTGGACGGTTCAGGCGTTACTGGCCGGCTCGGATCAGCTGAAATTCGGATACGTGTCGCGCGCCATAGTGCGGGACTCGAGCAAGCACGTGATACTTGGTACTCAGCAGTACAAGCCGAACGAGTTTGCGACGCAGATCAATCTCAACATGGATAACGCCTGGGGCATCCTAAGATGCATCATCGACATTTGCATGAAGCAGAAGGACGGCAAATACTTGATAATGAAGGATCCAAACAAGCCTATTATCCGACTGTACGATATCCCCGATAATACCTTCGAGAGCGAGGGCGACGAGGACGAGGACGACGACGAGCCTGTTAATGACGCGTTTCAAAGTTAACAGTCGCGCTAATCACATTCACCATTGATTGGTAATCAATGGTTGGCGCTTCTACAAATTTTGTCGAAGCACAGGAGTATTATAAAGAATAAATGAGAAGATTTCAATATTATCATTTTATGGAACTTCATTACTCGGATACTTCTTGATGTAATTAATAGAAATGGAAATACTTGAGTTAGTAGGCGTACACGAGGATTCAATCCAGGAACACATGTTTCACGACGCAATTATTTGGTATTTAAGCTATGTGACTTCATCGTGCGTAACAATACAACAAAAGAAAAAACTGGATTCTATTTTGAAAGCGAATTCCCAATTTCCTGTATCTCGTAACTAGTTTAACTCAATTTTGGGAGAGGTATGTATGTATGCTATTATAAAGAATTTAGCCACTGCAAAATACTTTATTTAAATATACACGTGTGCAGCTTTGGACAAAATTATTAGGCACCCTTACAATCGTGTATTGTACTGAATCCAATACCAGAAAGAATTTTATTGTTTTAAAGTTGTTTGCTGTATAGAAGCAAAGAACGCTCTAGTAAGCAACTTTAAAAAAATAAAAATTTTCCATGTATTAGATTCGGTAAGGTACAATTATTAGGAAGGTCCTTAATAATTTTGTCTAAGACTGTATATTTTTCAAGGTAACGTATACATGCGATAACATATTGAGATATACTCGATGTAAAGATAACATTTGATGCTACAATGCCTCTTAATCTATTATTTTCAAAGAACTTGGAACTGTGTGAGAGAGTTCAACTCTTCACTTGGGGATCCAGCTGCTTGATAACGTATCTTAATTTACGAACGGCGGCGGTCGTCATCGAGTCATCGATATCGTAATAAACAACCATCCTGAGCAAGCTTTTCGTGACAGCCGAACATCTGATTATGACCTCGTCATCTTCGTGGGAGTCGTTCACTTGGTGGAGCCTCTTCACGAGAGTCCCAGCAGTAACGCCGCTGTCGGTATTCACGTTTACGAATACCATGTTGCTGTGCACGGTCTTCAGGTTCACGCTGAATATCTTGGAATTCAACTGATCGATCGCCCTCGCGATAATCAACGCTCTTCTGTGATCTTCGACTAGTCGTGGCACTGTCTGTTCCAGGGCGACGAGCCCGGCCGCGGCGAGCACGCCGACCTGTCGCATAGCACCACCCAGCACCTTGCGCCTTCTCCTTGCGTCAGCGATAAAGCTCTTGCTCCCGCAGAGCACAGACCCCACGGGAGCGCCCAATCCTTTGCTCACGCAAAAACTGACGGAGTCGAACGGAGCGACTAGATCCCGCGCCGAGATCTTGGACGCGATCGAGGCATTCCACAGTCGCGCCCCGTCCAGATGCATCTTGAGCCTATGCCTCCGCGCCACCGCCGCCAACTCCTCGATCCACGACTGAGGAATGACCTTCCCGTTGAGCGTGTTCTCTACCATGATCAGCTTCGAGATCGGTACATGTATTGTCCGGTCCACGCGAATCGCGTTTTCGAGGCTCTTCAGATCGAACGTACCGTCCTCGTTGTTAGGCAGGGTACAAAGGCTCGCGCCGGCTATCTGCGCCGCACCAGCCTGCTCGTGAAGGAACACGTGCGACTCCATTCCGCAGTAGACCTCGCTGCCACGCACATCGCAGTGATTTAGAACTGAAAAGGTAGGAGAGACAGCTGGCGTGAAATTTTCTCTGAACGCATTTGAGGAAAGTCGAGGTAACGATCTTCACTTTTCTAACGTGATGGAATTCTAATGAAAATTGAGGTCAATTTTTTAGGTACGAAAAGAGCGTTAAGAGATCTTTTTCTCGCAACTGGTATGATTAGGCGAATAAATTTCTGTCTTTTAACACGCCGATTTCGGAAAAGATGCGAAACGTACGGAGATCGTTTCTAAGATTCTTACCAGCGATCAAGTTTCCCATCGTACCGGAGGTGACAAAAAGCGCATCTTCCTTCCCAAGCAACGCCGCAGCCTTTTTTTGTAATTCTAAAAGATTCAGACGATCGATCAGCCATTAAATATAAGAGCGAAATAAAGGAGAATTGTTAGAATTCTATGCTCTAGGTAGGACATTATCCAACAAGTGATTTGGCAGGAGGATCGGTTTTTGTAAGCAAAGAGAATTGATTTTGCTCGCAAAATCATCTCGGATATGAAAGATAGACACTTTGCGCGCTTTCGATTTAACACGACAATAACAATATTTTTCTCTCGCTACCTTTTACCGTAGGATCCTCCTCGTAGACGTCATCTCCTACTTCCGCTTCGAACATAGCTTTCCTCATCGCCGCGGTCGGCTTCGTGAACGTGTCGCTCCGTAGATCGACGATAATAGCCTAGTAATCATACACTTAACTCATTTAGAGCGATTCTCGTGAAACACAACGCGAATCTCATCGAAACCCCGCTCCATCTTCGAGAATATCTCGGGTGAAAGGCGCAGTTTTTTTTTTAAATCGTACACCCTGTACGGATTACCCCCCGCGTATCGAAGCGTGTGACAAAGATGATATTTTACGTGGACACGTTATCGTTTACCCTTTCGTGACCACTGACACCGAGACAACGAGTGATAAGTTCCATTCGCAAAGTTTAAAAAGACTCCGTGTGATTCAGCGTGCATTCTATTATTGAAAAAAGAACATTGTAGACAAAAGCTTAAAACGTTCATTCGGCCACGAAAGAGAAAGTAAGATAATACGCGATGAATTGTACTGGATTGAGTGAATTCGCACCGTCTATTTAATTTCCCTACGATCGATGAGGCTATGAATAGACGGAGTCGGGAAGAACGAGACGCCCAAATTTTGTCCACACTTACATTCTTTTCCCTCGCATAATCGTGAATGCTCTGGTTCGCTCCGCCGTAGGACATTCTGCTAGCCGTGACCAACGAATACTGAGACTACTGACAATGAGTTGTGAGTTTGCTCGCGCGATAACAGGCGTTTATCGGTTATACTTATTATCTAGACACGTATATAAAAAATACCGGAAGCTAGTCGTTCACATATGTCTTTACGTGTGTCTTACTTTACGTGTGCCTTCGAATATTTTCGACAAAATGAAAGGATAATTGAAAAGAGGAATAACTTGTACGTTTTATGGACGCGACGGCGATGAAATTGTTAATGCCGGTAGCTTCGCAAATGATATTTTTAGATTCTCTTCAAGGTGGCGTGGGGGAAAGGCAAGGAGAATGTCGAGAATCCAGTTTTTATCCTGGAATTTGTGGCGTTGCTTCGGGATTAAAGATTCATAAAAAAAATGTCTAGATAAATATTCTATGTTCTCTTTATTAAATCGAATATACGCCCAGTAAAGTGCGACATGTTATGACACGAAGATTGGCAATTTTTGTATTTGGAGACAGATGAAATTACAGAGCACTGGATGTAAATAGCACTCGACATTGATAAAATTGGATAAGAACGTTGCAGTCATGATGCAATCTTATCTTCTTACATCATGACTGTAGCGATAAGTTATCTTTTTTGCTTTAAGTTAACATTGGCATATGTGAGCAATATAAAAATACCGAAGATAACATATATTGCGAAACAACATTAGATAATTATACGCTCACATTAGAACATGCAAGAAATTCTCTTTATAGATCGACTTAACATTATGTAATTCGTTTTATTTTGAGTGCATTCAAGCTTCGTGATTTTCGTTTAAAAAATTGCGTTATAATATCTTCCAGTTTTGAATTCGGCACTTTTTGAGCCGAACGCGTCCTGTCTAGATATTCATGCATCGTGCCCGAGTACCGTAGCTCTCTCGCTACGCGCAAAAATTTGATGCCTTCAAATATTTCATAGGCGAGAAGGTTAATTATATTAAATTAATTACATGTGTGCGTGCCATAGAGTTTGAACCGACGGCAATTGAGTAACAAACAGATTTCTAGCCCATACAGCACGCAATTAAAAAAACGTGTAAACATTTTTATAAATTCTTTGAAACATTTCATACATATATTTTACAAAAATTGTGCGCTGTAGGGGAGAAACGCGCGTTTAAAAATGTCTAATCTGGAAGTAAACGTAATAACGTTTAGAGATAAGACGCGCATGATTGGATAATATTCAAGTTGCAACTATAAGAAAATAGTTAATGGAATTGTTCATTTTAGTTGCATTGTAGTTTTTCTGTCTATCTCCCTAACAGTACATGATATTTTTATATATTGTACTAAAATTATATCCATAACAATATTCTGAGAGATCCCTGTAATTTCATGTTTTGTGGCGCCATCTTTCAAACAGACTACACTGATAAAAAAATATTTTAATCCAAAAAAATATTACTTTACTCAAGAAAATTATTCGTTAGGTGGCTCCTAATAGCTTATTAACTTAAATTAAAAAAGTAATAAACAAATTAAAACATGCACTGCTTTAAGTATTTATTAAATATCAAAGAATAGATAATTTTAAATTGAAAAATTTTATTTGAATTCTATAAAATGTTCACTTGTAAGATGTAATTTTCACAGCGAAGAAAATTGGATTTCTTATTTGACAAAAACGATTCCATAGTTTAATAGTTACTTCAGTATAAAAAATAATTTTAAGTAAATCTATTTACTTAGTTTAAAAAATTCTTTTGTCAGTGTACATGTGCTGTTAGGGCTACAACTGTAGAACACGCATCGACGATTCTTCGTGTTATATCGCACTTGGTTCGAGCCGTTCGAGTAATCGATAGAGTAGCGATCGTGTAAATGCCAAATGGAATTATTAATTCTTTGTTTGAAACCCAAAAAGAAAGTTTAGAGATTACGATGGCGAGCTCTAGAAATGTCGCTATCGGCAACTCCGCGAATTAATCGCCGCGATCGAGTTGATTAAAGTTCTGGTCGAAGTCGCCCGAGGTTTCAATAAATCGAATGTCTCGTGCCCATCAATTCGCTTTAGTCTCGATTTAACTTACTTTCCATTCTTTTTCTGGTGTCAAGAATTGGAAAAAAGATGAGAAACGAGTTAAGCCGAGATTCAAATTGATCTACATTAGTGGAAAATAAATGAGTATTAAAAGTTTACGGAGGACAATCGATTTATCGAACTCGCCTAAAGGCCTGTGTCCAAGTTCTAGTTCCGCGAAACGTGTAGCCAATCAGCTTGCAGCTATTCCATAAAAGCTGCAAGCTGATTGGCTGCGCGTTTCTCGGGCCAAGTTCTAGGCCTCATGGGCACAGGCCTTAATTCGACCAGAAGCCGGCGCGTGTCCCTAGTATCTAGTGAAATCACA